GACGACAAATAAAGAAAAATCAAGTTTCAAAAGTAGATAAGCACATAAGCACTTCTACCTAGCCCTCAAGGTATTAACGTTATTGTTCTCGAAATCAGACCCTAATGGAACATAAAAACATCCTAGAGAAAATCTACAATAGAGCAGTCTTAGTCATTTGCATTAGTAACAGTACAGCAGGACACCGTACAGAAAGCGTTACGAACAGGCCTACGGTGTTGTGAGAGGAATACTTTAACAAATTACTAAAGAACTAAAGCTGCCAGTAAAAGTTTTGTGACTACAAGATTTTCACTGACAAAAAGAACTGGCTGCATGCAGCCCTTCTGCAAAAGCCTGAATGAGTTTCTATGGCTCAAGAAGCTCACAGCAAAGAACCGCCCTGCGAACTGCAGAGGGAAGGCAGAGGGAGGGTGTGCGTGTGTGTGGAAATAAAATGGAATATAAAGTAAGATGTCACTGTAGACTCACTTGTTCCCGCCCCGGTGCCACCCTCTTCTTTGGACTAGTACAAACAGTTGTGTAGCCACAGCCCGAACCAAAAAAATTATCTTCCCTGATCTGGTTCACCACATGTGGTTTTGTGCTACGCAAAAGCTTTGGCTGTCACAAGACAGGGAACTGGAATATGTAGGCACAGAGGAGGGAATTACAGTTTACCTTGGTTTAAAGCACCAGTGAAACTACAGCCTTGATACACAAGAAAAGTGAAACTATTTTAGAGATAACCTCAGGAAATTGGAATTAAATTTTGAGTGGGAGAGAAGTACAAAGGCAAGCCTAATATCAGAAAATTCACAATAACTATTCCCTTCTTTATTGTGTTTCTCTAAGAAGGTTTTGAATTTTTCCAGTTCCATATTGCAAAGTTTATTATGCAGCAGTAATAGCCTGAAAAACTCACTGTAAAAATCAACACTGATATGTAGAAACATTGTTGTTGCCTAATTTAATAGAACTGAAAATTACCAAAAAGAATGAAATCTATTCCTGGTCATTTAACATTTCAAAAATGAATACCGGTATTTCATTGCTATAGGGGGATTGGGTGTTTGTTTCTTGGGGAGTTTCTTTGGTTGGTTTTTAATAAAAATTTTTAGAAACATCAAAATCTCTTCCAAAAGATTTATACTTGGAGTTGAAGTGCTGATCTAGAATTTCTTCCAGGCGTGATTTAAAATGGGAAGAAGATTAAACCCTCCCTCCAAATTTGTAATGGAAACATTGACGGATTTTAACTATAGCAGTGTAAGTCAGGCTGTCAGACTGTTCTGCTTCCAGTAACGCCAGGCAATTATTTTTAGGGTTACAAGCAATGCAGAATGACAGAGCAACTACTTTCAGAACATTTTCATAACAAACTGAACAAACTTAGTCTAGCATGGTGCTGCTATTCTCTTCAAGAAGCTTTCAAAAGAGTTCTCAAAACACACGCAGTGATCAAATACACAACCACTCTGCCCAAGCTTTTGAGACACACACTTCCCTTGTTCCACCTGCCGTAAAAGTCAATGTACATGTACCAGTCTTCATCTTAAACAGTAATTACTACTGAAGACCAAGAGCCTCTATTTTATATTTAAGTGTCTTTGGTTTTGCTTTTACTTCTTACAGTGTTTTTCCCTTAAAAACTTCATTTTTTTCACATTATGAAGAACTGGGGTTTTGTAAAATCTTGTACACATTCCACAATATTTCAAGATACAAACATTAGTTCGAGGGAGAAACAGCTTAATAGATAAAGCTATAGTGTGTGTGTGTGTGTGTGTAGAAAGCAGGAATCTTAACTCTGCCTTCCTGTAAAACATAAACACGCCATTCTGAGAAATATAAACTTTTATTTAAACATGAAGATGCTCTAATGTTAATGGTCACATCCAAGTATGATGGAAATGTAGATGTGATTACAATTGTCTTTCTAAGTTTACAGACGGGAGGTTTTTCACTCCTTCCACAGAAACTCATACCTTTACCGACCAGCCTTAAAGGCTTTACAAAACACAGACGCTGCATACTGCAGCTCTCAAACCCAGCAACCCAATGACACACAGACAACCATTACAAGGCCAGTGACATCTTAAAGCCGTAAGACTTAAACATACTTTTCACATTAAAACTTAACTTGAGAATCGGAATCACTC